ACCAGTATTTCCAATTACCCAGCAGTGCTAGTTAAATGGCAACCTACTAGAATACTACTTTTACAAATTATTATATTCTCACACAAACTCACTTATAATCACTGAATACTTCAATTCAAATCGACGTACGAGTCAGAAGAAACATTACACATCGCACATACCAAGCTATTCGTCGCGGGACCCATTTCTTGCAAAACAGGCATCCCCTATCTATTTGAAACAAGCAATAACTGATTTCGATTTTTTCATATTNGCCTCACAATTGATCTTCCTAATCTAATTATTCAACCGGCTAGCACAACATTCAATAATTAACCACTTAAACAAACGAACGTTAAACACTTACCGTGTAGACCTTAATTAATAGCTGTGCAAACAAAATGAATAAAAGCAAAGCACTCATCAATAAAAAAGAAAATTCCAATCGAAATCAAGTCACTTACCGGAGTAACTACGGTATTCTGCGGTGAGGGCTCCTTTTGCATTGTACGAGAAGCACAGACGAATTAAAAATCGAATCGATCAATATCGCAGTAGCGAAAACTTGTCGACGTTTTCGCGATTAGAATACCATCCCAAACAGAGAGCTAGTAAGTCTGCAAAATCGATAAATCAATATGAGGCGCGATTAGATCGACATAGTGGTGGAGACGTGTGTGTGTATGTGTGGGTATGTGTGTAAGGAGAGGAGCGGCGTTTCGCGACGACAACCACACAACGACAACGCTATCCCCCAAACGAGCATATGAAAGCAACGTATTGATTAATTCTAGCGAAACACCATAAATCAATAGCACAAATCGATTGCACACACGAGAATGAACAAATGTCTGGCAGCAATCCAAGCAGCCAAGGTCAATGCTGTGAAGAGGGGCGGGCAGAGATGAGTGAGAAGGGCGACGAGACGCCGAGAGACGAAGCAACAAGAAACGACATGCGGGTGTGTTTGTTTTTGAAGGAAAAAAAGGAGGCAACGTCAAAGGGGAAATAACATAATTCTACAATAGTCTACTTTACAATGTATGCATACGAAGAAAAACTAAATGGAATCAATCGGAGCGAAGAAGTAAATAATAACATAAACAAGTGCTTGTTAATAATCCTAAATACGATCGGAACTAGAAAAAGCCCACTTTCCTAAAGGAACGACATTCCCTCAACTCCATTTGCCACGAATAGTTTAGGGCTGGAGCCTTCCTCGAAGACTCAAATCCATCTCAACTGCTCTGGAACAATTACCAAAACCTTGAGAACCAAAATAATAGGACAAAATTGGATATAATCTAAGAAATGCTGTTCCTTCGCAAAAATTGTAGCTGAGTAAGTCTTGTAGGGAGCGGGTTAGTAATTTAAAGACAAAGAATAAATGCCAGCCAGTAGACGAAGGCGAGAATCGCTGTTGACAATTAAATTTGAGAGAACTTCACTCGATTCAGTGCAACGAGGACTTATCCATTCCATCCATTCGAAAACATCGTGACTTTCCATGGAAACCCGAACTAATGAAATGGCCACGTACTAATAAGCCGGATATGATAGTCAGCGAGCTAGATAAGATACATCACGTCAGAAAAAAAACCAACGAGTATCCTCTTTGCAAACCTCCGTTAGCTCAGATCTTACTCCATAAAGTATAAACAGAAATAAAAATTAAAACCATTACCTCATGACCTTCCTTCAATTTTTCTTTCCCGACTTCCTTTTCGGAACTACCTTGACCTAGCACTATTGTTCATAGCCTCTTCGACCGAGTTCATGCCCCTTTTCATCGCATCGGTGCCTTATGGAAAACACATACATAACTAGTTCGGCGTATTCTCTGACCTTATTGGAACGCTTGCCCTTCATCTCTGTTCAGCAAAGCCAACCACATAGAAAACTAGGGGATTTCACTCTATTGCAGGAAGATAAAGGTGGAAATTAATGGAACGAAAAGCTATAGATAAGCTCTTCGTACGCAGAGACTATGGATATAATGCTGAAACAAGCGATTCGCCAAGGAATGGTAGGGAAACGAGTTACGGGAGGCAGAAAAGACCATGCGAACAATGAGGAAACACGCTGTTGCACGGAACCAGTCCAAGGGGCTTAGGAAAGAAAACTCAGTAGGACAGAAAACTGGTGCAATATGCTTCAGTGTCGCTAAAGTAAGCAAGGGTTGCCAAATAACTGCATTAGTGCAATTTGACTTTGATTTTCATGGTTGCAATTGTTTTTTCATCTCTAGACCATTTATAATTTATAGCCGCACACGTTCTGATCCACAATATCGGGCCCTCGCCATAATTGACTATTCTTACGATTACGGCAAACCACCACTAAAGTAAAGTCACCAGTCCCAGAAAAAGTCTCAAAAGTCATGCGGGCACGTTTGTGAGGCGTCCCGGCTGAAGAAACAAATGTCCTTCACCCACACATAAACTTCCTCGAACGAAAAGTGCATACGTCTTTCAGGAACTGAATAGAGGACAACGAAAGCCACCTTCCAGGAACGCTTAATCGAAAACGGAACTTGAAAGTGGAGTTTGCAAATTTTTTGAACCCAAACTCCTAATCCAATAATTCAATCATAGAAGTTTTTTCACTGACTCAGAAAACAACCAGAGATCATCATTGGACGAGAGGTAAGAAGGTTTGCACGCTGCATACCCAATCTGCAAGAAAGAAGTATTGCCAGTGAAAAATGTAGAAAAAAGAGGAGTGTAGGATAGTTACATCGAACATTTTTCAGCATATGTAAGAATGACGCCAACAAAATTACAACGATAAACCTTAATCTTAGGATTTTACGTCAGGAAATCGGAATGGAGTTCACAAATCAATGCCAAACAGTAGCCAAAAGAAAAAAATTCAAAACCAACTCAAACAAATTCACAATAAATCAATAATGTGAGTGTAATAATAGATGATAAACAACGTTAATGAACAAACGTGAGAAGTTTGCAGGCTGCAAGGAGATTTTTGATGTTCGGGCTAGACAGCCTAAAGAAACGAGACGCTAACTGACCAGTATTTCCAATTACCCAGCAGTGCTAGTTAAATGACAGCCTACTAGAATCCTACTTTTACAAATTATTATTATTTCAGGGCAAACTCATTTATAATCACTGAATACTTCAAATCAATCTACGAGTCAGGAGAAAAATTACACATCGCACATACCAAGCTATTCGTCTCGGGACCCATTTCTTGCAAGGCACGCGTCCCCTATCTACTCAAAACAAGGAATGAGTAATTTCGATTTCTTCATATTTGACTATAAAATTGTCTTATTTCCAAAAGTTGACGAACTGCATGCTCTATAGCAAATAAAAACTGAAGTAAAGTAAGAAAGAAAAAAAGAGTAGTGCAAGGAATATAGTTAGGCATGAGGGCGTACAAATAATTCTATGGTAATTGGGCATGACAATGCATAAATAGGTATACATATTGGATTATTTGTATAGCGAGCGCTGCCACAAATAGCTTTATTTGATTCCGTTGTTTTTCCTACAACATTGCAGTGCTGGATCATTTCAAAACTGGTATTTAATAGAGTATTACTAGAATTATCGCGCTCATTTCAAAGAACGTTCATTTCTCCACACATTTCAAAGGGCCGAAAGCCTTGTGTAGGGAAATGAGGGATGAAATTATCTAGTCCTGTAGAGAACGGTTCTTCTGTTCTTTTATCCTTCATACTAATTTGAGCGCATCAGTATCTGCTAGACCGAAGAAAATTAAAGGTTAGAGGGAAAAATAATTTGCAAACTTTTGAACATACAAAGGCTTTCTTTCGGAGTCTGAGCGCAGTTGTAGCAGTGGCAATCACTGGATCATTATCTACTTTTGACAGTCATTTCTAGTTAATTGAAGGAGAAAGGACGGAGAGCTCTTTCGTAAGTCCAAAACGAGCTAAAAACTGTTCCCGTTGTTGCTGCGCTTTCACATTCATCCGAGATAATCTGTTGGGTCGCTGGAAGTTCCAGAGGGAAAAATTTTAAAGAAGTCTCAAAGTCAAAAAATGTTTTCAACTTTTCGAGAATGGTTTAATGCTTCGTTATACGCCTACCTGGTAAAACACCCACCCAAATCAAACCATGTATAATGAGCCCCAGGGAAAAAAGAATGTTCCAAAGAAGAAACTAACCTGACGAGGTCTACTAACCCCAAATCCCAAATGCTTAGTGACAGCCAAACGGGAAGTGAGGCACATCTGCCAATATTCACACAGAGTTCACAATTTCTTCAATAAATCAACCCTATTACGAGTATTACTTTCAAGAGGGCTATAATATAACAACAGTAAACTGGAAACGGAATCAAGCCTGAATCAATTATTGTCCCAATGATGTCACTGCGATCAACACCCTTACACTTATACAACCACCAGCGATGACGTTTATTGATTCAACAAAGACCAAAAAATTTTGGCTAATTTTTGAACTTCTTACGAACCATTATTACTCACATTACACCACGTAACAATCGGTCAACCGCCTCGAACTGAACCACGAAAGTTGTCACTTGCCGTGCTGACGTTGGGTTATTCGAGGACAAGCACTTTTTATCGTTTTCCCCAGTCCTCATACTTATCCAATCGTTGATGCAACAGAAAAAAAGCACCTTCCTACTATAGCGAAGCCAGTGGACGAGTTGGAAGGAATTACTTTCCGCTGAAAATTCACCCATAAGGGTAATGGACCCATTACGAAAATGTCATTCACTTTCTGGAAATCGTTCACCGTTAGACTTATGGAATCGTGGAATACACCATTAGGCTACTATATATGTATCGATTTCGTGAATCCTGGAACACAGCGAAGGAGGGCAGCTCTGAGGATTAAGTGCGTATTGATCGGTTGACTGCGCCATCTCAACATCCATATTTTAGCGATTCAACGAGTTATGAGATCGTTACGTATCTGATAGTGGTAGTGGATTCCAGCGTCTGCTCGGTCACGGTTCTTCAACAATAACGAACACTCAACCAAACATGTGGAGCCTGTGATCAAAACATCCAATAAAACGAAAGTATTAGGTTGGCAACTAAGTGTGCGCATTTTTCTGAGTACTTCAAACACTTGGCTTGAAAGATAACTGCCAGTTTTTTGAAGGGATTTACATTCATATTTCGTTGTCGACGTAGTTAAGCGTTGACCATAAAACGCTCACTCGCTTTGCCTTTTCCGTAGAAAAACAGAAAATCATATTATCTTGAAATAACACAATCACTCAGTCACCAACCTAATATTGGGCTTTTTTCCGACCTCACCAGGGTTGCGGAAGTTGAACATAAATGAAATTTCCATCAAAAAGACGCTATCAAAATGATCTGAAAATGATTTGGTCGTTATAGAGGCCTTAATTTCCCATCGTTTTGCTCGGCTGACGAAAAATTTATGCGACTAGCTGTGGGAGGGAAACCGAAGCAGGCCTCTTCATTACTTCATAGTTCTTCAGCAAAATTTTGCTTTTGCAAAATACTATTGTTAAGTAACCACAA